CCGTTGCAAACATTTACAAATGCGCAGTCATGCATTTCGGCCTGGGAGTGCATAGTCAAGCTTATTATCCTTGTACCACGGTTCTCCCTTGGCGGTCGCGTGAGACTGTCACCACACCGGTCAGAGAGCTAGCTATTGCGTTTCTTAGGTCGTCATACAGACATTTCATCCGACTAGACATGTCAACCGATTTTCCGGTGCCACCGATTATACCTCGGTGGTACAACATTCGCACAGCGAGCGTAGAGGGTTGGGATGCGCTATATAATGACCGGATCCACGAATGGAACACCCTAGCTGCATTTTAGTTTTTCTTGTTTACATTCTTTATTTGTAATCTTATTTGTACGTTGCTCTTTTAATGAGAACATTAATATTTTATATTGTATTGCTTACTGCATTCTATATGTTGCATGGGTAAGTTGCGCGGATCCACGAACGGTTATATCAAAATTTAAAAACAGCACTGATAATATGTTTAAGTTGGAAGCTAAAAGAACAATCTAAAATGTTACAATTTTACAACATAATGTCCAACATAATGCTCTATAAATAAAATACAATAACCATCAGTAATCCCTCCTCGACGACGACTCCCACTGCGCAAGGGTCTGTTCCAGACTATCAACAACAGCTCTCCCTGTTGCACTCATGATGTCCTTCTCAAGAGAGAGTTTCTAAACGTCTTGCATTATCTTTCCCATCCACTGCATACAACAAAAAACAGAAGATGAAATACAATAACAACAAATAAAACTTAATTAAAAGACAACGATAAATATAATAAAAGACATACCGCTTCCGTGGCAGTAGGCGGTGGCACATAATCATCATTGCTGTGGTCGAGATCAGCGATCAACCTCGGGTGCGGATACCGGTTGAACCATTCCATGTAGTAATGGTCACACATGGGAGTAACCCCAGAGGGCGGCCGCTGCAACTCCGCTGTCCATAATCGAGCCACCATCGGAAACTGGTCCTACGTCCCGGTCATGATATCCGGCCATTCCACGACGTACTCCCTCGACGATGCAGGTCAGACCGCCTTCATCGGGCACGCCTGTACGATACAAATACGCCAACGTAGCCGATCCCCAGGAAAACTGGCCTACACTGTCGGGGTCACACGCCTCTACGATGTCGCGTGGCCTGAGCTTGTTTCCGCCGCTCTTATCCGGAAACAAGGTACATCCGAGGAGTAGAAAAACATAAGCACTCAGCTGTGCGTCGGGCGTCCTACGTGCACTCGGGTACAAACACCGCTGCAACACGGATGCGATCTTCACACCTCCGTGTTCCCAAACACCTAGCGCCTCCGTGTACAGTGCAGCCCTGTTCACCGCCAACAACTCCGCCAGCGAATCTGCCTGATCCGCATCAGCCACAGCACAAAGTCGTTTACCCTCAACACGAATCCCCAGAATGGCCTCGACGTCATGTAACATGATCGTCATCTCACCGAACGGAAGGTGAAAAGAGTTTGTATCCGGCTGCCATCGCTCAATGAAAGCCGTGATCAGCGTACTGTCAATCTTATCGTGCATGGTGGCAGGAACGTGCTTCACCCCAGTGCCCTCCAATCGCTCGAACATCTCGCTCTCCGCCGGCCAGGCCTCAGCCCATGTACGCAAAAAACTACAAGTCTTTTCCCGGGTATGACATTTCAACAACCCCGTAACTGAAGGCCTCTCCTGGTCCTCCCAAATACGGGCAGCTATGTGTCCTAGAAAGCTAGGAATCACACTCCCGTCAACAGGCCCACCGGGCACCTCACTCCTAACAACCCAAGAATCATTACCCGCCCTCGACCGTTTCCTGTTTGCCCCAGATACAGTGGACGCAGATGATGTGCCAGATCTACTAACAAACCTACCACCCCTACCCTTACGCACCTCCACCATATGCGTCTCGTACATGTCATCAACCCTCTGACTGAATGGACCGTAATCATCATACGGTCCACTGCCATCGTCCACATCCTCATCCTCATCTGCGCCCTCCTCCTGCTCCTCCTCCTGGTCACCCTCCTCAGCATCATCATCGTCATCGTCATCCTCATCCCGACGGTGGATCCGTTCTCTACGAACTGAGGCCGAAATACCACGGGATCTGACATGTCTATGCCCCGACCTCTCCACTGAATAACTTCTACTAAGAAGCTCTATATTCTTCCCCCCACCATGACGACCCTACACAAAATTTTAAAATATATAAACATACAAAAATTTATACGATAAATAATCATCATCGCAAATCAAATACACTAAAAACATACAAATAATAGTAAACAAAATATAAACGTAGAAAAAAATACAACGAAATTGAAAAAATTTATAAAAATAAACAACAAAATATAAAAACAATTCAAAATTATATTACAAAAAAAAAAAAAAAAATTAAAAACAATTTTTTAAAAAAATTAAAAAAAAAATAAAAAAAAAAAATGGGGGGGGGGGCGCCTTGGCTGGACGCCCAGCCGGCGGTGGTGGCGCCAGATGCAGACGCCGCCACCAGTTGGCTGGCGCCTGGGCTGGACGCCACAGCCACGACTCAGGCGCCTAGACTAAACGCCACAACCGTGGCGGTGGCGTCCAGCCCAGGCGCCAGCCAACTGGTGGCGGCGTCTGCATCTGGCGCCACCACCGCCGGCTGGGCGTCCAGCCAGGGCGCCCCACCGCGTTCACGGCGGTTTTCCCCCTTTTTTTTTTTTTTTAAACAAAATATACCTTTCCTCCTTGGGACATCCTTCCCTCCGCCGCCGCCGCCACTTCCTTGCCTTGCCGCCTCGACATTGCCGTTATTTTGAATTTTTTTTTTTAGAGAGGTTGAAAGAAGATGAGCAATGAGAGTGTGAGTGATGAGAGTGTGAGTGATGAGAGTGTGAGTGTTTTTTTTTTAAGTTCAAGGGCAATTTTGGGAAACCAAGTGAATTTTGTGGGCTTTATGTAGTAATTTGTGGGCGATGTTTAACAAATCCCCTAGTTTTCTGATTAAAGAACTAGGACTCAATTTATTTTTGCCATGCATTCGACAATCTCCTAATGGGCATTTTATATTGCTCATGAGTGAGATGCCATTTTTACCGTGATATTTTCCTTATGAGCATTTTTTTCCCATGAGTGAGAGTGCTCTAACTGAGGTAGTATGTACATTCTCTCATTGCATCGCTTTTGTCATTTTTGTCCTCATCACTCCTCAATCATCTCATTTACTCCTTATTAAAATACACTACCTAGTGCGAATCGAGGTAATTAATAAGCAAAAAAAGTTAATATAAAAATATAATTGTCCAATATTAAAAAAAAAAAAAAAAAAAAAGCATTACTCAATTTGAATACAAAAAGTATGTAAGATTAGGTGTAAGCAATTACATTACGTTTTCCCCTCTTTTTTCTCTTCCGCATTGAATATTATCCACTCTTCCGCTGATTTTTCTCCTCGATCTCATATCTCTTCCGCATTAAGTTTTCTCCTTTCATCTACAAGTTTTTTTTCATTTAGTTTCTCTCCTCTAAGTTTTCTTTTATTTCTTTCTGCTTTCTTTCCTCTCTTCTTTTTGCATAGATGGTTTAATATGAAAATTCATTAAATGATTTTTCGTCAAAAACTGCTACTTTAAATAGTGCACTTTACATACTTATTAAACTGTTTAAAAGGAAGTATAATGTTTTAAAAACAAAAGGCACTATATTCTTTCTCAATATGTCTGCTCAAAATTGAAACTTCACATAGCGATTTTTAGGTTTATAAACTTTCAAGCTTGTAAACAAGGCCGTCTTGAACTTTTTGGGGGCCTTGTGCTATTTAAAATATGAATCTGGTGTAAAAAAAAAAAATATTGAATTCCTATTTTTTTATTATCTCCATTCCATAATACTCGAGCAATTGACACGCTTAAACTTAACACACATGACAATATGTGAGTTTGACTTGTTATTAAGCATTATCTTTTTTTTTTTTTTTTTTTTTTTTTTGACGGGAACCTTCATATTAAAAGCTATGTACAAACATTGGTGCATGTGGGGAGAGTCGAACTCGAATCTACCGACCAAGGCTCTGAATCAATGAATAGCTACAAAAACCAACTCAACGACTTTGTTATAATTTGCATTTATTCATTGTATATCGTTTTTATACTTAAACTGATTATACAGATTTTGGGAGCCCAAGTAACATGAGACCCTATGCTCTTGGGCTGTTTGCACAGCCCAATAGCCGGCCCTGCTTGTAAATATGGGTAGCTCAGGTGTGTAGAGTGTACTCCTTAGTGCTGTCTTGCCTCGTAAATAGTAGATTGAGAACATATATATGAGGGACCGTATTTAGGAAGTAAGATAATTTATAGGGGTACGAGATTTTTCACCTTTAAGGGCCTATTCAGTTTAGTTCTTAATTTTCAATTCAGTTCTAAATTTTTTTCTTATAAAATATTCAGTTCAGCTCACTTCAGCAAATCTGAACATGCCCTAAGTACCACAATTAGAAACATTCAACCTTGTGACCTTAAGGTTGTAAGGTATATTGTTATGATTGTACTTATATATAAGGTTTCCCTTGTATATTGTTATGATTGTATTTTTCACCAATGACACCAAGTCTTGCTTGCTAATTAGTTTATCTGTATAATTTTGTCTAAAATTATGTTATATTGTTGGATTTTATTCATACTAATTTTGTTTTAATTAAAACCTAAAATTATTTGAAATAAATGTTGAGTAATATCTTAAATATTTAAATTAAATTTATTTCTAAAAAAATGTTGCCATAAAAGTTTTTCCATTAACAAATTTTCATTTACTTAAAAATCGGCAAGGGCGTGTTCGGCAAAATATAGTTGTGGAGGTAGCTGTCAGCCGTGAAGGTATCTGTCAATGGTGTAGGTAGCCTTTAGCTGTCAACAAGCTGTTAGCTGTGAAGATAGATAATTTAGGTATGAGTGTTCGGTAAAGTAGCGGTTGACTACATATTACATTTAAAAATCAATATTTTATATTTAATACTATACATTAAATTTTCAACAGTTACCTTTAAAGCACCTATAATTTCAAAAGCTAATATTTCTAACTTTTCATAAAAGCTACCTTCATCACTATAAGCTACCCTAACCACTACTTTGCTAAACACTTACATTTTTGTTAAGTAGTGGTTTAAACAAGTCAAACCATTAAAACCATTAAAAGCTACTTAAACACGAGCACCGAACGCACCCTTAGATTGTCCCATAGTTACCACATTAAAAACAAAATTTACTCATACTTATCAAATGACAAAACTGTAAATAAATCAACAAATATGATTCATAGATTGTTAAAAAAAAAAAAAAAAAAAAAACTTCATAAGTAATTTGAGTACATAACATTTCTCACTCCAATTCACATTCGATTCTATAATATTCTCTCTACTATTCCATAAACTCATCATCTTTCAACTCCAATTCTCATTCGATTTTTGCGCCAATTTTCTCACACCTAGGGTTTATCCCCAAATTCCCCTCCCCAAATCATGGAAACCAGAGACGAAGTAGGGGAAATCGAGAGCTTGGAGAAGGGATTAATATCTTCAGAAGCTACCGAAAATGGCGATTTTACAGCAGAAGAAGACGATTCAACGGTGATTTACACGGCGTCGTTTGATGAAATGGAAGAGAATTTCGTCAAGTATCAAACAGCTCAATGGGTGTTGTATTCTTTGGTGTTGATATTAGCTTGGGGAATTGGGTTATTGATGTTGTTGTATGTTCCTGTTCGAAGATTTATTTTGCGCAAAGATATTCGGTCTCGAAAACTTTATGTCACCCCTGATGCTATTGTTTATAAAGTAAGTCGCTTAATTTGTTGTCTTACTTGTGTTTTTCGGGAAATTGAGAGTCGCAAAGGGCATTGATGTAGACGAAATTTGATTAATTTTACGAGTTAATTAAGTTTTTACCCATGATGCTATTGTAACATTTTGTTTGTAAAGTAAGTCACTTGATTTGTCTTATTTCTTATGTTTTTTCGGGATGTTGAGAGTCCGCAAGGGTAGTGATGTAGACGGAATTTGATTAGATTTTACGAGTTAAGCTAGTTGGCATTCTCTTTTGATTGAGATTTTACCCTGATGCTATTGTTTGTAAAGTATGTTACTTTATTTGTTTTATTGCTTATGTTTTTCAGGATATTGGGAGTTGTGTAGGGTAGTGATGTTACTGATGTAGATGGAATTCGATTAGATGTTCGACTTAAGCTAGTTGATACCACTTTTGATTTAGACTTCAAATAATTGTTTGAGAACCATTGTTAATGTGTAACAATGCTGTTTAATCACTTCATTTGCAGGGTAGTGCATTGAGGTAAGAACTTGTACACAATTTTGTTGTTGTTGGGAGAACTAGAGATTGTTGCAAGTTCATGGATTCAACTATGTGATACTTAGATGTGGAATTTTACTTGTTACTCGTGTTATTTTGAGGAATTTGTTGCTTGGCGAGAGTTAAAACTTAAGCGCAGTCGCTAGAGTGGCTTCTAAGGGTTGGTTTACTAGTTTTTGGGGACGTGGAATGATAGGGTTCTAGGCAGTGACGTATCCAGAAATTCCGAACTGTGGGTTCGAAATTTTAAAAAAAATGATGATCATATATTAGCTAAATATTCAGGACATAAGTTCATTTTTTTTAATTACAAATGGATGGATTTTACAAAAAAAAAAAAAAAAAAAAAAAAACTACAAAAGCATTTTTCGAGTTTTCATAGTTTGAAAGCGTGCTAATACATTACTACTTATATAAATCTATATTTCAAATCTCAAGTCCCCAATAAACACAAATTTAACAATGTAAACTTCTTAAGGAGAAGGTTCAATGCTCTAACAATCACTCCCTTACCAATGTGCCAGGCTTTGACATTTGATTATTTAGGTCACATAAATTAGTTTTAACCCTTTTTTTTCTTTTTTTTTTTTAAAAAAAAATAATTAAAACTTATAATTTTTTTCCGAAAAATATGTGGGTTCAATGAACCCCCTTGAACCCCCCTAGATCCGCCCTTGGTTCTAGGGAGCTCTAGTTAGATTGTTGTGTGGGTGTAGGTGTGTTTCTTCCTCCAGTCTATATGTAAAATTGGTTAATCATAGAATGATAATTAAGACTGAGAAACTAGTATATTTGAGTTTTATGATTAGGATGTTTAGATTATTTTCTTTCTCAATATTATTTAGGCTATCAAAAATTCCTCTCTATATGATGTTATTGGAGTGAAGTTTATGGGTCACATCAAGCACGTAGGAAATACTACCGAGGGTTTTACGTCATTTTCAGAAGGCTTTTGGAAAGTCAAGTAGCTACTTATTGAGTTCATATACAGCCCTCCTTGGTCGAAGGGAAATAATTCAACGGAAACTCGTTGTTCAATACAAGTACATCAAAGTGATGTTGCTGTTTTTTTTTTTTTTTTTTTTTTTTTAATTTTAAAAAAAAGAATTTTTTTTTATTGAGATGGCAATTAAGATAGGTAGGGATAAGGGCCTTCCAGATATCTTGTGGTTGTAGGCTGAAGTATATCACCCTGCTATTAGAATAGTTTGCAAGAAGGCACTATATAGAGCATGTAGTAGGAAGAATTTGGTAATCTTTTTGAAGTATTTGGCAGTGTTGAGGTATGTATTTGAACTAGAAGCAAGGAGAGATTTGATGAGGTAGTAGAGAGATCTTAATTTCTGGTTACAATTAGGATTTTTGGAGACTTGTATCATGCTCAAATTGCTATATTTGGTGAAGAAAAGAATATTGTGTCTTGGGCTGTCATTTGAATCACTAATGTGTGCGCGTGTGTGTTTTTTCCTTCTATTTAAAGAAAGACTTAAAGTGTGTGTGTGTGTGTCAGAGAGAGAGAGATTGGTTAGGTATAAATTCCATTTAAGAACTGTCCAAAATGGAATATTTAACACTTATTGTATTTGTTGATGTCTATGAAATACCAATAATCTTGAAACCTGTATCTTCCAAAAAAATTATTTCTCAATTATTTACACTAGTTTGGCACTACCTTCATGATTTTCTGGTTTTGGTGAGGTCTTGTTTCTTTTAGTTCCCCTGTTTGTTACAGACGGCTTTGTATTTTTTGTCTGATTGCAATATAATAATCTCCTGTTGCTCCAACTTGTTTTTTTTGTCGTTCTATGTTTTGGCATGGCGTAAAGTAAACTGGGCATCTGGGCTTAAAGTCTGCTAGAAGTATGTTAGAAGTAGAGTGCTGAATTCAAAAACAAATTTCTCTTAATGAATTTGCAGTGAAGAGTCAGATTAGAAATTTATAATCAGTTTAACCATAGCTATCAGTTGGATAACATTCAATTTAGTATAAACTATAGGTCACATTTCACTTTCTAAAGACCATGTTGATATATTCCATTCTTAGTGCAGGTCACAAGGCCAGTGGCTTTCCCTTGTTTTGGTGTTTTACAAAAGGAAAAATATGTGTTGCTGCCCTCGGTAGCAGATATTGTAATTGAGCAAGGTACAAGTAGCTCTAATATAGTTTGATCTTTGAATATATTGATGGCAGTCGTGGCACTACTCACCCTCTCTATTAGATTGGTACAAGTAGCTCTAATGTAGTTTGATCTTTGATTATATTGATGGCAGTCGTGGCACTACTCACCCTCTCTATTAGATTTGCAATTGTCGTTTTCTCTTCTTTATGTGAAGATGAGGTGTTCTTAATTTGTGCTTTATATGACACATTTTAATTTCAGGCCTCTCAAAATATTAGATTAAGAAAAGGGAGGTGTCTAAACTCAAGTGTATGCTGAATTTTTACTTGCGAGGATGACTCATTCTATTAAGCTTGAGAGATTGGATGAGAGGGGGAAAGGGCATAGATTGATTTAAGACATATACCTGTTCTGTATTATACATATCGGGAAAAAGTTATTTGAGATCATTTTAATGCACCAGTTTTTGGGTAAAATGCACCAGTTTTTAGGTGAATTAGTGCCTGTAAAATCTTACTCAAGTTGAATGAAGTATGAACAAGCTTTTTAATTAATTTGTGGTTGGCAACATGAACCAAGATTTATCTCCTGTTGTCGTCAACCAAGTTCCTCTTCTTCCATGGCCCCTGCATGTGCTATATGCTCCTGTAAGCCAATTTTGTTTATCCCTCTATCCGAGCCCTCTTTGGTCTTCCTTTTCTTATTTTAAGATTTCTATGAATCAATTTTTCTGCTTTCCTTATTGGCGCATCTTCTGGTCTCCACACCTCATATGTCCAAATCAAAGTTATCCATTCTCCCTTATTTTATCATCAATTTATGCAATTTCAACTTTCCTCATACCATCTTCTCTCCTAATTCTATCCCTTAAGGTTTTCCCATACATCCATTCATCTCAACATACACTGATACATGTCTCTGCTAATAATCCAACCCATATGATCCTTCATAGAGCCCGGCATTCTAAGATTTCTAACCATATAGCATCGCTGGTCTAATAGTCATCCCATAGAAATTTCCCTTTATATTTGAAGGTATACTATAGTCATACAGTAGCCATCCTTTAAACTAAGCTTATATGACTGAAATTTGGATTGATTATTGTTAACCATGGGCCAGCTTAAAAAAATATATTGGTTTGCTCAATTAGTGTAACAGGCCCCTTTTCTTCTTCTTCTTTTTCTTCTTCACTTTTTTGTTTCTTTTTCTTTTTGTGTGTGGTTCTGCATTTATACAGTCTTGTCTTATCCAAAATTTTTCTTGATGCTACCAGGGTATTTGCAGTCCTTTTTTGGTGTTCACTCTGTTCGAATTGAAAATGCTGGTGTGAGAAGACCGCCTAGCGATGATCTTCAGATTCAAGGTATAACAAATCCAAGTGCCTTCCGAAAGGTAAATATTTTTCCATTTAAGATTGCACTTGGTAATAAGAAGCTCGATGATTTGATTTCCCTGTAGTCTAATTAATATCTCTTTTCCAGGCTGTTCTTACTCACCTCTCAATTGTGAGAACTGAGGCTTCCTCTGCACAAGTACCTGTAATTGAAGGTCCTCAAACTTTTATAGGTGGCCATCCACAAGTTGTTGGGGTATGCCAAATTATGTCTGAATTATGCTTGCTGGCTAAATGTCCGGTGTTCCATTGTTGTACCCAAAGATAGCATAATTATTATGATGAACTTTTAGGCTTCTTTAGATGATATTGTAATCGTTGAGTAAACTTGCTTCCTAACATTTCCTAATGTAGGAGTGTCTTGTCAGGAAAACTAGTTATTAAGCTAATAGAAGTACCATATTCAATTACTAAGTGCTGTTGTTTAGGTTGCTCTCACCATGGCCTGATTTGGCTTTGGCAAGGGTTGGCATGACCTCAAGGTTTTACGTATGGGAAAAGAGAGTTGAAGGGGAATGGTTGGGGGTGAAGACTGAGGGAGAAGGCCAATTTCTTACACTGCCCTATGCTATCCTCTTCCCAACTTAAAAGTTTTCACGTTCTACCTCTTATTGAATTTGGTTTGAACAATTTAAACCACCATTTCCAAAGTTTTATTTCAAATCAATGAAATTATCCTAAGAAATACTCTACTAATTTGGCCTGTAATGCTTGCACTAAACATTTTGGCATGTTCTAAACTACCTTTTAACTAGCTGAAGAAAATACATTCCAAGACGTAGTGTACCTTGACAAAATTCTATCTGACAATTGGATTGCCAATTTATGAGAAAGTAGTATGAGAATTTAGGATTTCTGGTCTTGCAGTTGTAAAAGGAGGCAGGTGTTGCTATCATGATATCTACAAGACAAGCTTGCTGCATAAAATGATAGAAACTTACTCCGTATTTACTTTTATTTGTTCTACCTATTTAAATTAGGGGAAGGTCAAATTAGGTGAAGCTTTTGTCTCTTATTGCTTAAGTTGGTACTTCAAGTGCTAGATTGCTGCAAACCCTAGCTTAATAATTGTCCATCTATTCAAAGTCTGTGGTGTAATGTTTCACTCTTCTAGTTTCTTTTGATTAGCTATGCCTAGCCTTGGGGATGAAGGGGTTCACCACTTCAGATTAAGGTTTTGAAATAATATGTTCGTTTTTGTTTATTAGTTTTAGCGTCATGTGTCAATATGTCTCTCTTCTAAACTCATTCGTGAATGTGTCCTTGTATATTAAGTTAATAATTTTCCTCACTAAATTCTTGGATCCATAATCGAGCTTGGTACCAAATCCAAGTATCACATAAGCACATAACCAAGCCCAACCATGGGCTAACTGGCTCCAACAAAGGGGTTCTTTGTTTGTTTGCTAGAAAGACTTCACCTTTGTTTACACAATTAGGTTTATTCAGCAATAGATAGATAGATAGATAGATAGATAGATAGATAGATAGATAGATAGATAGATAGATAGATAGATAGATAGATAGATAGATAGATAGGAAGTGGTTGCTCTCTGTATCATTCATGTTCTAGCTATTTCTGTTTTCTTTCTTCCTTCAGGGGATTTTTTTTTTCTTTCTTATGCGAAGATCAGTACTTTTATCCCGGGGGAAAACAAATGAGTGAGAAATTAGAGACGCTCTTCCTTTCATAATGTTCCCTGCCTAGCTACTTAATCTTCAAACCTTATCAACTCAGATAATTGTTTTTTTTTTTTTTTTTTTTTTTTTTTTTTCTTTTTTTCTTTTTTTTTTTTTTTAAATTTAGCTGCAAATGTTACCGTCAAAATGGTTTTGAGCTGTTCAAGTGTTGAGCTGCTTCCCTGTTTTCTTATAGTCCCCCTAGTGTTCAAAATCAAAATTCTGTATCTGGAACCTGGTTGCAGATGTCTCCTTCACAATCTAAACATGATGCTATTCCTCCTAATGAGCTGGGACTTCTACAAAAACTAGAGGAGGTTGGGACGTCTATCAAGGTAAGATATGCGAGGTCACTTTATGTTTCTGAGTTATACTTGTTGGCATGGTTTTAGTTGGGTTTTTCTGTTTGTTGTTTGGTCAGAGAGTTCATAATTTAATCGAGCAGCATTATTCTCAAGCAGAAACTTCAGATTGAGGTAAGACGACTTAAATCGGAAACTAGATCTGAGTACTACTATGTTCTTGAACTGAAGTAAGTGTTTTCGTTTTCAGAGATCCTTGGCATTACTTGTCTTCTATATTAAATTGCATGTTATCATTACTAGAAATTGACTACCTACTTGCTGAAGGATGGCTTCTGATTTCCTCTTCATAACTTGGGAGCAACTTGCGTACAGAATAGGGTGTAAATACAACCTTTGTCTCGATTCTAAATTGTCCTTTTAAACCTTTTTTTTTTTTTTTTTTTTTTTTTTTTTTTTTTTTTGGGGGGGGGGGGGGGAAGGGGAGTGTGAAGGGTAAAGGTGAAGAAAGGCAACAGTGTGATCATCCTGCTGATTATTTTATCTGTTTATTCTGACTTATTCTCTAGAATATTCTAAAATGATATGTACATTCTTCTTGCAAGAAATCCTCCAAGGTTCCTCTTTTGCTAACTATTGGTAATACAGATTCCTCAAAAAAACTATTGGTAGTACAGAAAGTTGCCGGTGAATATATTTAGTTTTAATTCTAGTGCTTATTTTTTCAAGTTATAGGGAGTTTGAAGATTATATGCTTTTGTAAGAGCGTTTCTGAATATATATAGTTTTGATTCTAGTGCTTAATATAACCAGTTATAGGAAGTTTGAAAATTACCTATGCTTTTGTAAGGGCATTTCTGTAAACTAGGAAAAAATACTTTAAAGAGAACCTGTGATGCTCAGACTCACCAGGTATCCTTATGGCTTAAGATGCCATAACAGGACCCATCTATGGACGTTGTATATGGTTCTGAATCGGGGGATAGAACTCATTGTTCGTCCCCTATTGAAGAATGAAATTATACTTCTTTCTTTGAAATAACAAACAGCCTCATCAGTCATCCATCTCTTTGCCACAGGCACCAGTACTGGCTCAGTGCCCCTACCTTTTCAAATTTAATTAGAGTTTACATTGAAAGTCCTAGTTTAGTAGGTAAGAACAAATGGAAGTTATCTTGTATTTTTTGCTGACAAATGAAAAGGACCTTGAGAGATGAGAAGCAGATTGAAGATGTAACACAAAAGAAATAGAATAGGGGCTATGTTGTGTGTGTTGTATTTGCCAAAGAAGTCAAGTGAGGAGAGGTTAAATAATCAAAGTATTACAGAGTAGTTCACCATTAGGTTTTCAACTCTTGTTGCTATTATGTATTTGCTAATTCATTCTGTCCCAATCCGTGGTCTATCTTTACCTGCTCCAGTCTGGTCCTTGATTCCCAGAAACTGTTTTATTTATTTTTATTTACTTTTATTTTATTTTATTTTTTTAATAAACCCTGAAACTGGATTTAATTGTTAGCTGTGTCTCTGGTATTGGTAGAATTGCTTCCAAGAAAATTAGCCACTTTCAAACAATCAGTACAGCTCTGCTCTTTAGGCTGAGTTGGTACTGATCTTCCTTTGAAAGCTAAATGTTTAATTGTCAGAATTCTATCTCTGAAGCCACCTGAATACCTGTGATATAAGTTATATGTGAAAGGCCTGATGCTCAAAGTCATCTGCAATACCTGAGTATGCTGAAGCCTCTAGGAAGCATCGTTGGTGCTAGTCACGAAAAGTAGCCATCAGTAGAACATTATTACATTGTGTTGGCAACATTCATCATATGATTATTCCAGATCATTGACGGAGCAAATTAATTGTCAAGGCTGGTAAGTTACCAAGCAAGGTAACAGGCCATTGCTCATATGAAGTACAGAGTATGTTATATAATATGCATCAGAATTGCGTTGGATGCTTGTATAACATCACCTTTGTTTTGAATAACAAGTACTACTATGGCAACGTGGCTTACATACTTCTAAAGTTCTAATGTGTAATGTTTACAAGTTTATTTCTTTGTTTGGACATAGTTTGAAAGGAGTTGCATTTGAATCTTGCTTAAGCACTGTACATTAACATATGGGTCTTGTTTGGCAAATGGCTGTTGGCGGTTGGCTGTTGGCTGGTTCACTTGGCTTGTTTGACCAGCTGGAATGTTTGGCTGTTTATAATGGCTTTTGAAATTGGCTGTTTAAGTTGGCTGTTTACAAAAGTGTTTGGTAAATTAATTGGTGGTTGGCTGTTTATTAGATAATTTGTGGGCCAACAAGCCAAAAGCCAACAAAAAAGCTACTCAAAGCAGCTTTTTCATTTTGGCTTAAAAGCCAGCTTTTTCGTTGACTAAAAAGCCAATTACCAAACACATTTTTTGGCTGTTTGACCACCTTAAAAAGCCAAAAGGTAACCAAAAAGCCATTAAAAAAGCCAATTACCAAACATGGCCATGGAGCCTGTAACATGGTTATTCGAACAAATAAAGCCAATACGTAGTATGAATGTTTAACCGAGCTTGCCGTGGTCTAGAGCTTGCCCTTTTCCATCCTGATGTAGTGATCCGTAAAATTAAGCTGCTGGGTGAGATACACTTACCCTCCCCCAATCCTGAAGGTACCTAACTGAGTAACTGGCTGAAGACACATTCGATGATTGGGTCTGTCCCAGGCCTAAGTCTGATTTCATCACCAAGCAAAAAAGATAATACAAATCACCTCTGCTTTGCAAGATTCAAATGCAAATCCCCCTCAAATTCCCTCTGTCGTTGTTGCTATGGTGCTGCCAGCCTGCCACTTTCTCCCTCCCGCGGCCTTCCCTGCCACCACTGCTCACGTCTCATCATTGCCACCAGTCCACCACCCCTCTTTTTTCCTCCATTACATCTACCTCTTCCGAACTCGCCTACCACCACCCCGATTGTAATTGATAAATAACATGTACACGTACAAAGTATTAAACCTTTGCCAAAAATAGCATGTGTTAGACAGTTCTAATTTGGTTATTTTGAGTTTAGTGTACGTAACTTTGAGGATTGATTTGCCTTTTGACACCATTCATACATTTAACATTGATGGACAATTGGACATACACAGACACACCGTGCATGTCTCAGATCTTTGTCTCACCTCATATACTATAGCATTCATTTTTTACGACCTAACTTTTTAATGATAGTAAATGATTACCGTCACAATGTGGCTTGTGGGAGCTCTTTGAAAAAGTTTGTGCAAATCTAAGCCTTGAATATCCTAGGACCTTCAAGAGTCATGTATTGTCTGTATAATCTATCAATTCATTCATATACCTATTATTTTTACTTTTTGAAAAAAAAAACCCTGTAATGATGTGTCCGGTATAATCTATCAATTCATTCATTGTGTTTTACATAAATGAGATACTCAATATGTCGAAATAGAGTTTGTTGTATACATCCGGGTATACATCCGGGTGTACGATGTACATAATACACTCTCGTCTTTGAAATAAAAGTGTGATTCATTTTTTGCACAAGTTTTTAGGATGGTGAATTAAAAAATTTTGCTGAGTTTCCTTTATGTTTTTTCCAAGTATGTTTTAATTAACCAACATTTGTGGGTTAATTGAACTTAATATAAGTGAAGTCCAAACAAAACCCCAAAACATTTTGGGACTAAATAGTCTTTGTTGTTGTTGTTGGTGGTGTATAAGTAAGCCCAAAATCAGGGTGTAGTAAACATTTTTCAACATTAATGGATCATTCACACCTTAAGTAAATTAACCGGAGAGATTGTTATATACACTCAAGTTTACCGTCACCCTTGGATATTTTGTACTCATTTTGATGATTGTATTTCATTTAATCATCAAATGAAGAGCAAAAACTAATTTTGGATTAGTTGGGTGTACGGTACACCAGGGTGTATATAACAAATTTTAAATTAACTGAAATAGTCAATGAGATTATGATAAATTTGTAAGTATAGATCAAACGACTCACGAGGGTGAGTGCGTCACTGGACTATGTTAGTGTGTTACAAGAGTTTGAGACTGAACATAACTCATCTATCTTTTGCACCCTGAAGATTAGATTTCTATAGTCACGAGTTGGTTTCGTTGTTTGAAGTCTCTACCCTATTAGTGTGTTACATTTGAGAATCACATCCACCTCCTGTGTGTGTATATATATATGGTAAGATCGATACGGGGTGTCCCTTCTATCACAGGAGGGGTGAGGGTGAGGATCGAACCCTGGTCACATTAGGGGGAGATGGAGGGACGGTTCGTCCCTTCACTTCTTGATCCTTGTAGCAATGAGAATTATTAGGCTTTTATGTCATTCATAGTAGTAATTTGTATCTCACAACTTTTAAAATTTAAAATCAGATTAAATAATCAGTTTTTTTTTAAAAAAAAAAAAAAAGTGGATAAAAGCATGTTATACGAATTAAATTGATATTGTTTATGATCAAAATTAATTAGAAGAAACTAATATCCTACAATAAGGAAACCTAATAAGGCTAAAACTCCTAATAAGATAAACTTAATATAAATACAATATTAACATAAATAAACCAAACCGGCTCTAATACTTTGCGTCAATTATAACTTGATTGTTTTGCGTGATATTGGATAAAATAAAATGATTGAGCAAAGAATTCACTTGCATATTTCTTATGCGTGATATTGGAAAAAATAATACTCCATATGGATTTTGTGAAAGTAGTCTTTTGATAAATATCCACAACTAATTGGACATAAATTCATAATCATATGTGACTATGATCTTATAAATTATTATAAAATCTACACTCATTTACTCTTAATTAATTAAGTTCTCCTTCATTTAAAAAATCACACATCCTCTTAATTGATACAAGTACTCTTTGACAATAACATGTCATTAGTGGTGTGGTGTGGAGTGTGGACAATAACATGTCATTAGTGCGTTCATGACCCAATGAATCTTAATTTGCCTCTTATTAATCCTTACCTTTTGTTTATCACAATCTTTTATACGCGGCATGTTGTATCGTGTGGAAGGGGTTTCTCAAGTTTATCGGTCATGGCCGGTCATGGGTTACTTGAGTTTCTCGATCAGGGGTTACTCGATCGGGATTACTGAAGTTACTCAGTCAAGGGTTACTTAAGTTACTCCTTACCAAGTAACCTATGACCGAGTAACCCCTCGATCAATCCATGACCTAACCCATGGAGTAACCTCTAACTGAGTAACCCTTGACTGAACCCTCAAGTAACCCGTAACCGAGTAACCCTTGACCGAATTACTCGAGTAACCCCTAACCGAACTCCTTAAATAACCCCTGACCGAGTAACTCGAGTAATCCATAACCGAGTAACCCCTCAAGTAGCCCCTAACCGAGTAACTCGAGTAACCCTTGATCGAGTAACTCGAGTAACCCTTGATCGAGTAACTCGAGTAACCCCTGATCAACTAACCCTTGACCGAGTGAACCCTTCGGATAACCCCTGTCCGAACCCTCAAGTAACCTGTGACCGAGTAACCCTTAACTGAATAACTCGGGTAACCTCTAACAAAAAATCTCGGGTATTCACTGACAGAAAAACTGGGGTAACCCCCCCCCCCCCCCCAAAAAAAAAAAAAAAAAAAAAAACTCGGGTAACCCCTGCCGCATGGTGTGACCCGCTGCACCAAAAAGTTGTTGTTTGTTTATATACACTCCAAAATTCAAATTAGTAACCTATCTTTATCAAATACGGGCTATACCCAGTTAATTCCTCATATTATCTGGGGGTATAATTGTGTTTTCAAGTACCAATGAAGGGGTATATGTGTCTTTTCATGTACTAGTTGAGGGGTACATATGTAATTTCCTCACTAAACAGTAAAAGCAAAAAGCAAACAGTAATTGAACAGCTCACCAAAAGTACTGAATAAATGACTCCGCTTTTTCAATATATTTACAAAAATGTCATCAGATTAACAAAAATTCGTTTATCTGACATATTAACTTGTATTTTCCTATCAAATACTCCCTCTGTCCCTAATATTTGCTCCATGACACGTCTTGAACGATTTTATTTTCATTTTATTTGTGTATAAATTATAAATACTAGATCATAATAAAATGCAGTATACTGTTCAACGAATTCAATAAGATCGTACATGACTACCAATGACTTGAACTCAATACAATGAAGAGTTGAAGACATCCGTAACCATCAATTGACTTGTAATTGCTATATGTATATATATATTTTTTTAACTTTGTTATTTAGTGATAAAGCATATGTCTTTACATTTTGGAATATGCGATCAATTTAATATCTGAGGTAATTAAATCAATCCAGAAATTTAATATTTTCATCATAAAATGACATCATCTTATGTTATTTGTGAATCATATTAACTGTTGTTGTTTTTAATTCATTAATTTCTTTTACTTATATGTTCTTGTTTCATATTTGAAAATTGAAATTAATAATATTTTGACATGATATTGGACACTTATAACAACGTGACAAAGGTTCGCTATCAATACTGTACAAGACATAAAACTCACTAATTAAGCTAGATACTTTGGCATTAATTTAAGTATAAAACAATTGGCTTCTATGAGTATATAATATACTACGTAATAAATACGAGTATATATAGTATATATCACACATATATTTTCCGATATTTCATATGTCTAATATTTGCATAAGAAATTTAGTCCAAATTAGTGAAACACAACTAAATTCCTGTTCTCAACCATATTTATGAGCAGCCCTAAATAACAATACTGTAGACAAAAAAGGTGGAGAGACTCAACTACAATCAGCTTCATGCATGCTAACTCAGCAACAAAACAACAAACTTACAACCACCTTCCATTTTACAAGGCTTCATTCACAACCACATGTTTTTATGTAAGTGTACGAAATATTACAATTAAACACATAGCTAATCAAACTCTAAAATGAATAGGTAAGGATAAGAATTATACTTCTTCGTCTCAAATTATTTGCATCATTTTTATAATATACTCTCTCAAATTACATAGCTTGTAATCTTATCTATCTATAAATGTCATAAATCCACATTTTTTTATTAT